ATTTATGATTTAAAGATGGGTTCCTCAATTAAGGAATCATTTATTTCAACTTATTTCATTTTTGTTTGCTGAATTATCATTTTTGTTTACTATTTTTTTATAACAGTATACAAAAATATTAATTCAGCAAACAAAAAAAAAAGGGTAGCACGGGGGAGTTCGCCCCTCGAGGCAAGATGTCTCATCAGGATAACTCTAAGGTTAATCATCAGATGGCGTTTTTATCTGTCTTCGTTAGTCGCGTAATCCCCACCAACATCCAACCAGGTTTGTAGCTAAACCTATCCTGCTGAAATTATTACAGATAACAAAACGTTTGTACCAGTTTTCATCTAATATTTGAGTGTGTGTTGCAAGTTTTGATTATTGCAATTTTATTCGGAAACAATATTCATATTTGGTTTCCAGACATTAGTGTCCCTGAGACGTTTCAGCCTCACTTCTTTGAACTATTTCTTGTTTACCTGTTTACAAAACCTTTAGGGCTTTGTTGAATGACACCCTCTGATTATCATCAGGGCGAGACGACATGTACAATGTCTTAACGGATGCCCTTTTATATTAAAAATAAGTAAAGTGGTTGCTATTTACATATTATTCATCATAATTGCAACTTCTATATTCTTCCAAATCGAATTCTTAGGGTGGGTATTCCCCCATGTTACCCCAAGTAATCAAAAAAAAATAAAATAAAAAATAAACATGTCCAAACCAGCGTATAAAAGGGGGATTTTTAATATTTTCCAAATAAATAATGTGTACATTTCACTCTTTAAACACAGAAAAATTCAGCCATATTCCAATTAGGTTTCTGGGCGGGTAAATTTTTCAGTCTAAAATACTGATTATAAATATTGTGATATGCCAGGATTTGATTCAATTGTTTTATCCCCACATTAAGGGCCTTATTCTATAATACTTAATTACGATAAAATCTTTTTCAAAATACCATAACCATTAATAATCAAGTTGATTAATCAAATGATTGACTATTTACTCTGTTTACATAAGATAAGATAAGCAAAGATAAGTTTATTGTATCAAATACGCCCATTTAAGGCATCATTCAACGATCGAATGGTATATGTGAGAAAAAATATAAAATGAAACGAAAGGTTGATATTTCTAATAAATGATAATATATGGTAATAATTCATAGAGAATTTTCAACAATTTACATGGTGAAAGACAATTTTCTGGCCCTGCTCGGTCCTTTCAACTAATGTTTCCTAGAAACGCCATTGTACATGTAGAAAACACCAAAACATAAAAGTAC